TCCGCTCAGACGCGCTGCTGCCACCGCTGCGGCCTCTCTGCTCCGGAGCCAGGTCGACGGTGCCAGCGCGGGGGACGGTCCCAGCCGCCCCGTGCCTGCAGGCAGCACCGCCACAGCCTGCGCCTGGCGGCCCCTGCTTGGCGCGGGTCCCTGCAGCCATCTCTCCTTCACCCCGTGCCGTGCCTCGTGTTCTCGGTTTTGCGGTCTTTAGAAGAAAAGTGTGGAGAGACGTAGCTGCAACTCGCCCCTGCCAAGTCTCAGCATAAAAGTCAGCAAAGCCCACGAGGAACGCTGAAGCCAGTTTGATGTGAGCTCCTCCAGGGCAAGGCCACGCGTCATTCAGCTGGCTGTCCCAGCTCCGCCCCAGGCCAACACCGATTAGGCTTCAGTCCACCCTGCTGAAATCAGGCCCCAGCAGCGACCGAGGCACGCACGTGGGCAGGGACATTCGCAAGGACGTGAGCTTCCCCTTCCTGCCTCCCACGCTCCCGGGCCCTGGAGGCACCAGGTGTCTGGTTGTTACTGGCTCTCGGTGAGGTCTTCTTAACACTGAATTTCCTTTCTAACCAGAGAAGACTTCATCAGGCCCGGTCCTCACCCTATCCACACTCCATCCCCCGGAACACCTGCTGGTTTTCTGAGGGCAAGGGAGGGCTGAGCCTGCTCTCACCTCTCCAAAGCCCACGCTGCCCGTGGCAGTTCCGCAGCCGCGCTGCTGGCGCCCCAGTCCAGAAGAGCCCTTTCAACCACTGCCTACCTACCCACCTCCCAAAAGAGGTGGCTTAGAAATTTTTAAAAGTCACTGGAGCTGGATGCTTGTCGATTTCCCCTTTCAATTGTTCGAGACTAAGCCACCGATGTCAAACAGGGGAAAGAAGGCCCTAAGGAAGGTGATGTTTTAGGTTCTGGCATAATCTCGGTGAGGCAGGAGGGTTCCCTAACATGACACGCCCTGGAGAAAATGTGAGCATAACGCTGACTGGGAAAACCTAGGTTTCCATCAGAAAGTGAATTAATTCCCCACGCCTAGTTCAAGTAATCCATCTTAGTTTTAACTTCCACAAATCATCTTATTAGGTTTTTTCCACTCCTACTAATGAAAGGTTTGCTTTTACTTCTCTTCTCTCTGAATAAACGTATTTATTCATTGGAGGAGAGAAAGATAAAACACACGTCTGGGGGAGGCTGGTTTGCCGATTTGAGGGCAGAGTTCAACAAAGATGCTTGATACACAGTAGGTGACAGTTCTAATGGGAGTCACCCTTTCCTGTCCAACTGTCTCTCCACCTCTGCCATCACTGGCTGGTCCAGCGCAGGCTCATCTTGGGTCCTGGCTGCTGGCTCGGCCCCTGCTCCCCACTCCCCATCCCACCCTCCCCCAGAGGCTCCAATACCCACTGCCAAATTTCACAGGGGCTGCAGGCTGACCCAGTTCCCACGCACCTGTGCACCCCGAAAACGGGAAAACAGCGGGTGGCCCTTGGGCAGGGTGGCAGGTTCTGAGGCCTACTCACACTGAGCAGCGTGGGAAGCCGACGCACGCACAGTGGAGCTACCCACAGAAAGGTCCATGTCTGGATTTCGTCATCTCAGTTTTAAAACGCACCTTTCCTAGAAAATAAAATGGCAGTTCCAGAATTGGACTATGAATGCAGGGGCCTCTACTTCACAGGAAGGCCTGCCTTACAGACGTGCTGTGTCCGTACCATGCGCTTCTCGCCAGCACCCGCGGCCCTCACTTTCATACCACGCGCAGGCTGGGGATGTCCAGCCCCCACGCCCACTCCCGCCATGTCACAGTGTGCGTGTGCTGAGGGGGGCAGGGCGCAACCCTCTCGCACTGCCCCCTCAGGCTCCCAGGCCCTCTCTCACAGACATCGAAGCCAAAGAAAGGGGGGCTCCATCTACTTACAGCTGCAAGAACCCCACTGCCGGTTCTCTCTGCTTTCCAATCCCCCAGCGGCAACAAAGGAGCATGGAAAGGGGACGGAAGGAGACAAATGACATCTGCGGGGTCCCCAGCACAGCACTCAGAAAGCCCCAGGAGGCCCCACAGTCCCACTCGCCACCTCTGCCACCTCCATCCCATCAAGCAACCTTGCTGAAATGGGGTGTAGGGGCTCAGCCTCTCGCCTCAAACCTACGGAAATGGGGAGGGGAATGTCCCTGCCACGTGGCAGCAGGGAGGGTGGGCGGGCTCCGAGTGGAAGTGGGGTGCAGATACGTCAGCTCATCCATACTTTTCCATGGCAACTGTGTGCTACAGGAGCATCTGTTTTTATGGTCGTTTGGGGATCAGTTAACTTCACATATATATGGACCGACTAGCTCTTATGTAGTTTGATTTGGAAATATAACCAATACACATATTATTTTTACTGAGTTCCCAAAACTAATACGCAAGATAACTTTTGGTAAAGTTCCATTTACAATTTGGGTACTGCCTGTATTTGGAAAAGCTAAGAGCTTTTAAACATAAGGCATAAAAGCTGTATTTACTTGTACAATTCCAAGTGCAAAACAATTGTGAAAAGAACACTGAGCATCGCTCTTTCACGAAAAAGGAGGAAAAATCAAATAATATAAAGGACCTGGTTAGGGACTGTAGAAGATTTGAAATAATAAGACATTATCAGGCCATTAGAGGAGAAAGTACAATTAAAACAACATATACTATTTAGTTAAAAGTCAAAAAAATAAAAGAAAGCTCCAGAAAGGAAGCAGTGACTGGTGCATGAATGGTGCAGCGTTGAGAGGCGGAGGTCTGCTGTTGGCAGGAGGTGTCTGGCAGTAGAGGTCAAGTCGACACCTCTGCCTTGTGTTAGTATCCACAGCGACATAACACATTTTGTCCCACACTTACTGGCCTAAAACAACCCGCATTCATTATCTCCCAGACTTTCGGAGGCTCAGGAACCTGGGAGGGGCTAAGCTCAGTGGTCCCGACCCCCAGTGTCTCATGAGGCTGCCGTCCAGAGGTCCGCAGGACTGCAGCCATGTGGAAGCCTGACTGGGCTGGAGGACCGGCCGCCGGCCTCAGTCCCTCACCACATGGACTTCTCCACAGGGCCACTCACAACATGGCTTTGGTTTCCCCCCAGTGTCCATGACCCCGAGAGCGAGAGAGGGACTAAGACAGAAGTCGCAAGACTTGCATCACCTATCTCAGAAGTGACCTTCCATCTCTCTGCCATAGCCCATTGTTCACGTAACGAACTAACCATGTACAGTGCAGGAGGAGACTCCACGAGCGTGCATTCCAGGAGGTGGGGACCACTGGAGCCATCTTTGAGGCTGGCCGCCATAGCTATGTCCCGTAAAATTGCTCTAGAACAGAGAATTTAAACACATACTTATTTGTAGTGTGGCTGTATGTATTTTCCAAATGCTAAGTATCTTGGGATACATTGTCAATTCAATAATCACTTCATATGAAACACAGGGTCAGCTGTAAACAAAAGGGTCTTAATTTCCCACAACTGTATCTCCCACTCTACATGACGAGCAGAATCAGTCTTGACCTTTAGCTGCAAGAAAACAATAGAGTTTATCAATGAATTCAAGTATCCAGACTCCCAGTAAAAGGCTCCAAAGTATCCCATTTGCTGATAAGACTTCATGTGTCAACTGTCTGGAGCAAGCGTTTTAACAGGGACAAAGAATGCATGGAATGGACAGAGGGATCACAAAGTTCCGGGCACCCGCTGAACTGGACAAGGAGATGCCTCCTGAAAATGCATCACTTGTAAGACTGTCCATGTTGGAAAACTGCTAAGGACAAAGAAACACATAGAAAAACAGAAACGGCCACGGTCTACTTTGAGATGACAAACCTTTTCAGTTACATTATATTCACCGTGTAAAACTAACGGCTCCCAGCATTTTGTAATGCAACAGTTTCTTGTCCAAGAAATTAAGCCATGCACATTACTGCTGCTTTCCACACACCCTCACCCCAAGGAAAACCAGGTTCTGAATCTGTCACACAGGCGAGCTTTAATGACATAATTTGGCATCTACCAAGACACATTCTGGGTGCCATAATGCCTGGGTTCAAATCCATCTCAGCAGCTTACCATTAATTTGACCATTTGGAAACTTATGTAACTTCTCTAAGCCTCCTAAAATTGTTATAAGAATTAAGTGGGATCATTGTGGTAAAGCATTTATTTGGATCCTGGCTTGCTGAGAAAGAAAGGGAGAGAGAGAGAGATCGAGAGCAGTAATTAAAGAAAAAGTGAGAAGTAT